GGAGAAATAACCCCAGTGGGGGGGTTCAGAGGGGGTCCCAGGAGCCTTTTCTGGGGCTAAAAATGACACCATGGAATTAATAAAATAAGGGATTGGGATGAAAATGCCAGGTGTCCGACTCGGAAAAGTCTTCACTTAGAGCAGAGTGAAGGATTTGCTGAAAAATTGAATTTTTGAAGGGGGGGGGAAGACTAACCCCAGCAGGGGGGTTTGGAGGGAGTCCCAGAAGCTGTTTCTGGGGCTAAAAATGACACTCTGGAGTAATTAAAATAAGGGATTGGGATGAAAACGCCGGGTGTGTGACCGGGAAGAGTCTTCACTCACAGAAGAGTGAAGGATTTGCTGAAAAATTGAATTTTTGAAGGGGGGGGGAAGACTAACCCCAGCAGGGGGGTTTGGAGGGAGTCCCAGAAGCTGTTTCTGGGGCTAAAAATGACACTCTGGAGTAATTAAAATAAGGGATTGGGATGAAAACGCCGGGTGTGTGACCGGGAAGAGTCTTCACTCACAGCAGAGTGAAGGATTTGCTGAAAAATTGAATTTTTGAAGGGGGGGGGAAGACTAACCCCAGCAGGGGGGTTTGGAGGGAGTCCCAGAAGCTGTTTCTGGGGCTAAAAATGACACTCTGGAGTAATTAAAATAAGGGATTGGGATGAAAACGCCGGGTGTGTGACCGGGAAGAGTCTTCACTCACAGCAGAGTGAAGGATTTGCTGAAAAATTGAATTTTTGAAGGGGGGGGGAAGACTAACCCCAGCAGGGGGGTTTGGAGGGAGTCCCAGAAGCTGTTTCTGGGGCTAAAAATGACACTCTGGAGTAATTAAAATAAGGGATTGGGATGAAAACGCCGGGTTTGTGACCCAGAAAAGTCAAAATATCCACCCGAAAAGAGGATTTTGCGGGGGGAGGTTCAGAGGGGGTCCCAGAAGCCGTTTCTGGGGCTAAAAATGACACCGTGGAGTTAATAAAATAAGGGGTTGGGATGAAAACGCCGGGTGTGTGACCCGGAAAAGTCAAAAAATCCACCCAAAAAGTGAGTT